TAGGGACTTAAAGTCCTAGAGATTTTGGCGAAAAGAAAATGTAGAGATGCGAACTTTATTTATTTATTTATTTATTTTTTCCTGTTTGAACTAAACTGAAGCAACCTTATTCTGTTATTGAACATAATAGAACAAAAAACCAACTTATTGTACTAATATTTTTTGGCCGAACACTTATTTTGGTTATTGTGTTCATCTTTTTTTTTTTTTAAGAAAAACAATAATTAAAGGTGTTAGTATGTAAGAAATGTATTGAACCCGAAATATGAGATAAAAACCACGACCTACCCCAAAAGAAGCAAATAGTCGTTGCACCACGCACATGGAATGCGTGTTCATCCTTTTGAATAAGAATCATTTGTTTTTTTGCCAAATTTTATTAAAAATTATTTGTCAACTAAACTTTTTTTTTAAAACCTTTAAAATTATGTCATTTTATTAAATTTTTATTAAAAAATAAAATAATATGCTTTTAAAATAAAAATGGGTTCATTTTGTTTTTTTACCATAGTGTTTAGAAAGTAAACATAATTTTAAAATAATTTTAATTTTTTTTTTAAATACCCAACCAACAAACGCACTATTCTTTTTTTAGTCTTTTTAAAATCATTTATATGAGCTGTAATCACACAACTGAAAATAAAAAATATATATGGCAACAAAACAAAAGATGTCAGCATTTGGTTCCCCCAACCTACTTTTGACCAGATGCTTGCATAAACACACTAGAGATTAAGTCATTAACCATTATTATCAACATTATTATTATCCTTCACACTCAAGGCACCAACTCGGCACCCTTTCTAAGTTTTTATACACACATATTTTTATAAACAAAAAATAAAATATATAAAAAAACATTTCCGTATTATTTTTTTGAGATAAAAAAAAATTAAAAATATTTACTGACAATCTGATACACTACGACCTCGGTTTTCCTTTTCCGCCGTAAGCTTGCTTGCAGATCGCATACGGCTTCTGCGACGGAGTGCACAGCTGAGACTTACCCGGACATCCTTTCAGACAATTGTCTCCGAAGCTACCTGACACCACTTCGCTACCGGCGAAAAACCCAGCCGGCGGTTTCCCGATCAGGAAGTTCCCGTCCAGAAACAGCCGCCGCAGTGACTTTTTCTTGCTGTATTCCAATGGGATCGCGCCACGTAAGCGGTTGTAACGGAGCGACAGCGACGACAGCTGTGGGTAGTCAGTGAAATTCACGGGGACGTTGCCCTCGATTTTGTTAAAACCGAGATCCACCGCTACCAGGTCGCTGTTACCATTAATGGGTTTCGAGATCTCGACGCGTGTCAGGCTGTTGTTGGCCAGATCAACTTGTTGGATTGAGGGGAGGAGGAAGAACCACGATTCCAGTGTTCCGGTGAACGAGTTTTCACCGAGTTCGATCACCTCCAACCGAGTCAACCCGTCAAAAGACGGTTTTGGGATATACCCAGATAGGGAATTGCTCTTCATGGCGAGTTCTAATAAATTACTCGGCAATTTCGGGATTGATCCAGTGAGTTTGTTGTAACTTAGATCGAGTCTGCTCAAACTAGAAAGTGCGTTCATGGTGTTCGGCAAAGTTCCGGTGAGAGAATTGTGGGAAAGGTCTAGAAATTCAAGCGATTTTAGCCAAGTCAACGAGGCAGGGACCGGGCCTGAGAACCAGTTGGACCGGAGACTCAGGGTTTGAAGGTTGGAGAGGGAGGAAATGGAGGAAGGTACCGGACCGAAGAAGTTGTTGTCAGAGAGATCAAGAGTGGTGAGTTGGGTGAGCTGGGAAATAAGAGGGGTGAGTTGGCCGGAGTAGCTGGCGGCATCAAGAGTGATCTGAATTATTCTACTTGAGTCAGGAGAGCAGGTAACGGCGCAGAGGAAGTGACTCCGGCGTGGGAGGGCACATGGGTCGGAGGAGAAGTCCCATGAGCCCAGGCACGACCATGGTGGGATGGAATTTGGCTTGATGGCGGCCTTGAAGGCTTTGAGAGCTGAAATATCTTGAGGTGAAGTGAGTGCTTGGATGTTTACTAAAAGTTGTAGAAGAAGAAAGCAGAAGGTGAAGGGGACAGCCTTCTGCATTTTTTTCAGATTTGTTCGGGCTCTTGAGGGGAGAAAATGGTTTGTTATGGGTTGCATAAAGGCTTTATACCGGGGGTTGTAGGGCACTAAAAAGTTGTAATGCGGTTGGTAATAGTGGAGGGATAGTAAACCAAGATGTTTATTGATATAATATTAGGGGGTTGAATTCGACTGTCTCAATGCATTTGTCTGGTGTTTTGGTTTGTAGTAAGTATTCGGCCTCTACATTTGAAAATTTTGTTGCATTGTGAATGCTTTTTTTTTTTTTTTTTTTTTTTTTTTT